AAGACCCCCATTAAAAAGTTACACTTTTGACATCAGTGATTCACTGTTTCTATGTCTATAAACTAAATTCAAAGTTAATAATGTTGGAACAGTTCTCACAGAATAAAAGCTGTAAGAATGCTTCCCAGATTCCAATCCTCACTTTGATTATCTAATAAACTCTTTGATAAGTCTATTGAGACTTTTATTTTGCTCAAAAGATAATAAAGATAATAAAAAAGCATTTGTCAATACACATTAGTCATAATCCTTGAGCACTTTTTAAGAAAATGTTACAAGATTTTAAATGTATTAATTAATGATTAACATTCCTAAATCATACAACACAGGCTCAAGGATGGAAATCATCTCCTGCAGAACTCCATGCCCTCACTAGGTAGAGAACAAGAGCCTGCCTGCTGTTTCTAACCTAACCTTGCTTCTCAGCATCTCTGTGCACAATGACCAGCTACTTTGCTCTATGGGACCTGCCAGCTTCTTTCACCTCCTTGTTAGCAAGGTCATTAGCTGTGTCTGGTACACTTTAAATTATTTAGCAATCTTATATATAAAAATAGAGCAGGATCTGAAAGTCAAAGATGATAATATCATAAAACAAGTGGGTAATCCCAGTGGGTCTGTACAGGCTACCATTCTGAATCTTAAGTTACAAAAGCATTAAGTAATTGATGGCACACATTCATTATAGTTTCAAAGCTTCAATAGTAAATTATAGAGTTTAACATGGATTGCATAACCAGTCACTATTAATATAACAATATGATAATTTAGCACAGTACAATTAGCTGAAATTCCAGGTACATAAATTAGTATTACTTTATAATGTTAACAGACTGTAGATAACTGCTGTAAATGCTTGGAGCAATGGAAGTTCTTATGTAAGAAAATTTTATCATTGAACTAAAGACAATTTTTAGTTTATAAAATATCTGAGAAGATATTTTTAGATAACTTGTACAAATCAATTTATTTTAGCAGATGAGGAAACTATTCATCTTTTAGACCTAAACGCATTTCTATTCAACTTAGGTGAATTTTTATTAATAAAATATATAAATTCTGAAAGAGTGGTCAGGCCTGAACCAAGGATGCTGATAAAATCAGTACCTGATCAATACCCACTGGTCATTTTAAACTGATAATAAAGAAAAGAGCAAATATTCCAGAAAGTCATCAATCAATATTCCAGAAAGAAGCAATCATGTGACTGCCCCTAGACTATCTGGTACCTTCCTGGACCTGAGAATGAAGAAACTCTCCCCACATCCTGCATGTCCTCAAATTCCTTTCTTTCTTATATAACCTTCCTTTACTTGCTAATTGAGAAGATGCTTTCTTTGTGTACTAAACACTATTCTCTAGTGATGGTGCCACATGTTAATAAAAGGTTTCCTTTGTGGAAACACTCCTGTGGATCAGAGTCTGGTTTTCTAAGCAGGAGCTATATGTCTCAGTCAGGACTGTAACAAAAGACCTCATAAACTTTTTTTTTTTTGACACGCTTATCATTTTATTTTTTTTAATTTAAATTTTATTTTTATATTCCCCATACAATTGCAACCCCCTTATTTTGACCCCAATCCCTCCTTTCCCCAACCCCCACCCCCCATAGAGTGTCTCTGGTTCATAGTTGTTTGTTGATTTTGACTTTTACTTTCTTATAATTATTCTTTGTCCTGGTCTCTTATTTAAGTTTTCTAGATTCCTGCTATGGGTGAGACCATCCGGTATTTTTCTTTTTCTTTCTGGCTTATTTCACTGAGCATGATCCCTTCCATACGATCCAGCAATTCCACTCCTAGGTATTTACCCAAAGGACACAGAAACATCAATTCCAAAGAGTACCTGCACCCCTATGTTTATAGCAGCACTATTTACAATAGCTAAGCTTTGGAAACAGCCCAAATGCCCAAAAATAGATGACTGGATCAAGAAGATGTGGTACATATATACCATGGAATATTACTCAGCATTCAAAAAAGATAAACACATGCAATTTGCAGCAACATGGATGACCTCATAAACTTTTAATACAGGTTGATGGTTTTGACAAATGCCAAAGTTCGTTATTAAAAAACTTCACTACTGAAAGCCGAAATGTTTAAAATTAGCAAATCAAATGAAAAGCACAACTTTTCATTAAAAAAACATACAAATGTTTAGATGTACAAGTCTAAGAAAGTACAAAGGTGGTCTTAAATTTTATAAAGTACTTCTATTTCTTTTTTTTTTTTTAGATTTCTTTATTTATTTACACAAGCACTGGGTACAGTCAGAAGCGCAGGAGGGTGAGAGAATTCACCAGAGCCAGAGCAGGGAACAGAACAGGCAGACTGACGAAATACACTGCTGAGGGGAGCAGCGGGAGCAGCAGGAGAGGTCTGTCGCGCCATGTGGGAACCTCTCCAGCAGCCGGGGATCGAGCTGATGCTGCAAAGGCTGTCGGCAGCTTTGCAGCCCAGCGCTCAACCGCTGTGCCACCAGGGGAGGCCCTAAAGTACTTCTATTTCTAAAGAATTTATGCTGCTTTTGAATCAATATTAAACAAATTTTCTTCAAACTCAGAATTTTAGTGTTTGGTTGTTTCACTATGAGGATACTAATAATCATAATAAATACATAAGTATTTATTTATTTATTTTTTACATCATTGCTCATTTTTCGACAGTTTGTTTTCTGTGCCCCACCTCTCAGGTGTAGTCCCCAAAGAGTTTCCTTCCCCTCTGCACCCGTGCACCATCACCTCAGTCCCCTGTGCTCCTCCCTCTCTCCCTCTGATCCCTCTCCCGCCTCCTCCCCTGCAGGATGTCTCTGATTTATGATTGTCTGTTTTTGCTTTGTTGTGTTTTGTACTGTTATTATTTTTTTACACTGATGTCTTATTTGGTTCCCCTATATTCCTGCTATAAGTGAAACCATGAGATATTTTTCTTTTTTCCTTCTGGCTTATTTCACTGAGCATAATATAGAAGCTTTTGAAGCAATCCTAACCCCCTCTGGTTTCACATAATATATAGCAATTAAGCTTTTTTTTTTCTTTATCTTCAGATGAAATAAACTGTTGAACACCTCCTAGTCCTGGAGAATTTTACATAGGAAACTGAAGGTAACATTATCTTTTTGGTACAAAGATGTTTTTGGCTGGTTATTATTTTTTTTTTTTGTAGTCCAGAGCTCTTTTATTTCTTTTTGCACACCTATCATCCTATCATGCCATGAATTCATAGGGAATAGGTTCTAGCAGCTCAGGCTCCTTCCCATTGGTTCTCACAAAGTGTGCTTCTCTAGGTGGAGCAGGCTGGCGCTTCAGCTGAACCCAAGTACCCTTCTCTTTGGCTTCCTTTTTCTTCTGATCATTTTCTTTCACACGTTTCAGGAAGCTATCTCGGCTCTTAGAGTGCTTAATGTGCTCAATACGAACATTAATTCTCTTTGCAAGAATCTTGCCCTTTACTTGCTTGTTTACAACAATGCCAACTGCATGCTGGGTAACATTATAGACTCTTCCGGTTTTGCCATGGTAACATTTGTGGGGCATTCCTTTTTGAACAATGCCCATCCCCTTGATGTCAACAATATCACCTTTCTTATAGATTTGCATGTATGTGGCCAAAGGAACAACTCCATGTTTTCTAAAAGGCCTAGAGAACATATAGCGGGTCCCTCTTCTCTTTCCCTTTGTGTTAGTCATTTTGGCGACTTACGTGCAGGCCAACGGGCCTCAGGCAAGTTACACAGACTATCTAGGGCCCCAATGCACTGGCTCAGTGGCCACAGGATTGGAATTCAAGTTTTTGGGCCCAGGGCACCCGGGAGCCACTTTGCTGGTTATTTTTAAGAAATAGCAGACAAAGGAGAAGTCCTGAAAATTGAGTAGGGGACATTTACATTGATAAGGGAAATCTCTTATTTATAAGGGTGTCTTACTTGCTGTACAGGGAGGAGAGTGATGACCAAATCTCCTTATCTCTCATCCAAGAAGGTAGAAACTTACATAACAATCATATTCTTGTTTACTATGCATCCTGGTGACCTGCCATTGCTGATCTTCTCCTTAGTACCCCTCCTCCCCCACCTTTTGTCTTTAGCTAAAAATGTTAGATAAGATGATGGCTTTGGGCAATTATGGGGAGCTACTCAGTTTTCCTGGGTTTCTCATATGCATACATTTAAAGGAAGTAGAATACATGACCCAAAATTGTGTCACTTTGGTATGAGGATTATAAAAAAAAAATAGATTCAGAAAGAGTTCCTCTTCCCTTCCACTGCCTAAATTTGCATTTAAGGAGGCCTGTAGCTGGAAGAAACATGTCACCTGAAATATCTTTCCAACTAAGAAATTTATCTACTGAACAGGGCAACTTCTGGTTTTTAAACATTTCCTCTGCGTTCCACTGAATTGCCTTCCTTTCCCAGACCCCCAACCTTTTCCTTACCTCAGGAAGGTATATGTAGTCCCATTACCTGGTTGCCATTTTAAACTTCATATCTTTGGATTTTCCTTACTTACAAAATTAAATTTGTTTTTCAATCTGTTGTAGGAGAGATTGACCAAGAGACCCAGGGTTTAGCTGAAACTATCAACATGCTTGTTTTATCCTTCCATGTTCTTCTGTGTTCCAAGAGCTTGGTTTCATGACCTTTTCAGTCTCCACTGTTTAGAAGAAATGTGCAACAAAATGCCCTGCGGTGAGTCAAAAATTAATAGGTCTATCCTTAAACCCCTCTTTGTATCCTATTGTGTTCTCTGGGGAATTTTTACTTTTTTAGATGTTTGGGTTTTATAGCTTGTTTCTGCAGTTTCCATTACGGGGGAGATGCATATACGCTTATACATCAGGTAGTCAGCTGAATAGGCTGTGGCTCCAACTTATGGAATCTGTAAGGGTGAACCCATTCTGTTGCAATTGGGAAAACACGTGATTCTCTGTGTTTTGGAACAGCTGTTTGGAAACATAACAGGGTCCCTCATAATGAAACTCTTCTCTTTCCTTTTTTTTTTAAATGGAACTCTGAGAATTTGCATGTCACTCTTGCAGAAGGGTCATGCTAATCTTCTCTGTATATTTCCAAATTAGTATAATTTTCCAATTGTGTTGCCAAAGCAAGTACCTCTTTTCTTTCTTAAACTATTCATTGGGAGTGAATTGTCTGGATCCTGTGAGCTCTGCTTACTCTGCACTTTCTTTGGTTAAGATATAAATACGTTATTGGTTCATCATTGCTTGGATTATTAATATAATGGCAAGACAAGGATCTTTTGAAATGGAAAGCTCCTGAATTAAAAATTTTAGAAAGCTCTCAATCTAAATTATTGTCTTTTTGTTACCTATGAAATAGCAAATCGAAAATAGGCCTTTGTTGACTGTTTTACAGATATTTTTAAAGAGGTACCACATTAAACCCTGAAACTCTACCACACAGAGAGCTCTTTTAATCCCCATCTTGAGCTGGAACTCTTCTCCCTGATATAAAAGCATACTGGAGAAAATGTAATGTGGAACCTATTGTGAATTAAGTAGACTCATCTTGTCTCTAACTGCAAAAGGATGAGACTTCTAGGTGAAAAATAATCAGCCTGACTCAGCAAACTGACTCAACTCTCTATTCCTTTTCTCCCTACCTTCTTTCCCTTTCTCCAAATATAATAACCATAACAGTGTCTACAACCATCATGCACAGTTGATGGACTACAGGGTTAAAAAACAAAACACACTCATACAACTCACCTATTCCTTACAGAGCTTGTCTAAATGAGATGCATCATTACCTTTACTTTACATATCCTCATTATTTAGTTAAAAATTCAGTTAATCTGTTATAGGACAGGGAGAGGGTCAGCCCAAACCCCGCAAACCTGCCTATTCTACATGGGTTCTGCCATTCGCCGCATTAACACAAAACATAGGAGACTTTAATGGGAAGGAACTTTAATAAAACTAGGAAACAATACAGGTAAGGCAAAGAGTCTAGTTTCTAAATGAAGCATCCAGAGTTACCCGTCCCCTCGTGGGTAAAAGTCCATCCAAATGGGATTGGCCCAGAGCAAGGCCCCAAAGCCTGCCATGAGTCTAAAGCACCTTCCAGTGGGGACCCACAGCAAAGGGTCAGAAACAATCAGACAAGCCCAGAAGGAAAAGAGCAAAATCAACATCAAGATAAAAGCTGCCATTGTCACCTCCCCATGGGTCTCACCCACATCTGTGTCACTCGGTCCACGACCAAAAGACAAGCACAGTTTCTTCACGTGTCTCTAGGCTCCATGCGCCTCCTCCAGGTCTCCTTGCTCCATCCTGCTTCCTTCCTCAGTCTCTTCTGCAGCTTTCCCTCTTTCTGCTCAGCTCCACCCTCCCTTGGGTGGGGCAGGGAACCTCCCCCTTTCCTGGGGACCACCCTGTTGCAGAATGAACCATGGCATCTGTCTTCAGCTATTTAGGCTAAAAGTATTATAACTATATAATGAAATGGGAAAGAGGACGCTATACATTTTCTTAAGGACATTAAATTTGAATACATCAAATAAACTGGTTGATTTTCACCAACAGAGATATGTGGAGATAGTCATTAGGGCACAATAACTTTATGAAAGTCTATTACTTGGTCTACATGTAATATGATGTGATTCCTGCAAATCACTGACCAGCTTGCCTGGAGACAACAAGATGGCTAGTTACCATTTGAGATGCAAAGTAGATTCCACAGAAGAATGATAAACCCTAGAGAGTGCAGGCTGACTGGCCAGTAGTTTGGAGTGCTAAGTAAAGGGGTATGAGCAAATTCAACCTCTTGAATTGTTTAGTGAAAAATAAATCAAACTAAAAAAACCCTGAAAGTTGCAACAACTTAAAACATTTAAATCCTTGCAGTTCCATTGTAACAATGAGTGATAACCAACGAGCAAGAAGAGCAGTGCCCCAGCTGATTTCCCACCTATAGTAATGCAAACAATGGAACCTCTGATTCAGTCTCTGAGCTCAGTCCTCTTAATGTCCTTTCACAGCCCTCATCTCTTATCAACCATTTGCCTGTTAATAGAAGTCATTGTCAAAAGCTCAAGTTCTGATTTCTGATTCCTGTGTTCTCCTTTGAGAAGAAAGCACAGCTCCAAGGCATTATGAGAGAACACAGGCAGACAGGAGGCAGATTAATTGCTTTTCAACTAATCCTAATTGTTTGCTGCTAAACATTATGTTTATCTTTTCACATAAAGAGAAGATGTGACTAACTTTTTATTATTAACAACCATGATGCTATGGAAAACCCTGTGTTCAAAAGAATGGGAGAGGACATGTAGAGAAGATGAATACTTCTTACAGGTTTCAATGAGCACACTGAAATACATATAAAATGGGACCATCTTGCAAATACACTTAACCTCAGGGAGCACTTGGTGAACTGAAGACAATTTTGAAGGTGAAACAGACAGTGGCCAGGGAAGAGAAATAACAGGGCCATGGGGAACAAGGAGCAGAAGGGAACTAGCCAAACGTTACCTGAAAGGTTTACTTGGAATGTCAGCTTGTGAGCACTGGGGAGCAGATTATGTTCAGCCAATATTCTAAGTACCACTGTAGGGAAGCAAAAATATGTCAACCCAAAATGCTTCTTTCAACCAGAGGTTTATTTCATCGGAGGGGCTCTGAGTACTGGGTAGAAGTTGCTGTTGATATTTATAAGTGAATGTCTCTTTGTTAGTGTCTCTCCTAGGAAAACCTATTTTCCTTCCTTTTTTGGAAGAAGGCAGAACATAAAATTGCATTCCTTTGTCTAATGATAAACTCCCTAGTTGAACTTCCCCTTTCTTTCCCCAACTTCCCTTGTCTTAGTTAAGCTATTTAAGATGGTGCCTAGTGGTTGTGAGTCAGTTACTCATTATGCTGAGTCTCTTCCATGCATGCAGGATGCATACATGTTATTATTAAATTTCTTTTTAATTTTTTTCTCTTCTGTTTATGTCTGGTGCTTATTTGATTATGTGTCAGTCTAGATAAACTCAGATGAGTACAGGATTTTACTTTGTGTTCTGATACCATCAACCAAACTTCTGTCCAAAACATCCCATCCTTTTTTGAAAATGAAAAGGAAAATAGAAATTTAAAACAAAGGCAAAAATAAATAAATCACTCATACCATAGACATCCTTTTCCCACCTAAATTTTCCCTAGAACTTTGAAATCAGTGTCCCAAGTGTATCCCATGAAGGGAATAATTCTCAAAACTGGATGAAAAGGGCTCTATTATTCACTTATTGCATTTTTAAATCTAGAATTCTATGTTCCTATTTACATTTAATTCACTCACATTAAATGAGGTTGGAAAGGAGAGGAATTTTCCCCCTACACCTTTGGATTCTTCTCAGGTTGGCCACATAATCAAATTAACACAAAACAGATAAGTAGAAAAAAAACCCCAACAAATTTACTCATATACTATTAGGTAACAAATATCCAAGCATATCAATTTGCAATAACTGACTTAATCAAATGATTCATGAATCCTGTTGGACTGGACTCCCCAAAAGGGTCAGATAGATTTTCCGTAGGGCTTTAAAAAGAGAGGCGGGGGATTGACTTGATGGGGAGCTGATGATCTCTACCATACAGACAGTTTTCTCATAAAAATGCTGTATCTGGTAATAACCATAATTCTGGGTAAGACTTCCAGTTTTCATTTTTCTAGAAAGTTAAGAGAGTGGTAAAAGTTTCCCCTGAAACTGCAGTATTGATTGACCTCAGTTTGAGATAATCCATATGCCAAAGCGACAGATCTTTGAGAGACTTGTGCTGAGCATCTTGGGATGATCTGAACACCTGGGAAACCTAGGTGGAATATCCTAGGTGGAATATCCTTTAAGGAATATCCAATCTACTTCTTAGGTGTTTCTTCTCCACCTTCTTTCTAAACCTCTAGAAAAGTTCTTCAAGAACTCTGGCCTCTATGGTGGCAATAACACAAAGGTAAGACACCTTACATTAGTATAAGTGACAAAGACTCCTTAACCCAAGTTTATTCAGGCTCCTCTGAGCCCTCTGCTCAATGAGGCAGGTATGTAGCCCCAGAGGATCTGGATATTTCTCTTTGTGTGGTATTAACTCTAAAGAAACTCTAGAGAACCTGCTTAAGTAAGTTTCTTTGCCTGGCAGCGGTGGTCTAAAAGGCAGTCTCCTGTGCACAGTATGAATGAAGACCCTGTCCACATTAGGTTTGCTTAGGACCCAGTGGCCAAAGTGAGGGCCTAGTCTAGAATCAATGCAAAAGGGGCCAGACTCTCCAGAGCCATTAATACAGCAGCCAGGCAGAGTAAGTATACAGAACATGCCCTATGACAGACTGGGTATTTTTATCCAGAGCAACAGAGGTCTGGCATGACCTGTTGTAATCAAATCAGAGGCACCTCCACTGTCAAACAGTGGTTCTGGATTTATGACAGGTCAGCATAGACTTGCTGAGTGATTTGGGTCAAGGAACTTTCTGTTAAAGGGCTTTCCTTTCATTACTAAATTTGACTTAAATCTCCAGCATCAATTTTGCAGAGGAATGAAACTTTAAGGATGGTGTATAAAGTGCCATGCCAGCATTGTGGTTGAGAGAAAAGCAAAGCTATGGAAAATATAGCTGCAAATACCTTCAAAACTTCTATTTATAGACTTTTCTAAAAGAACAGATGTAAGCAGCAGCACCTGCTGCTGGGGAGATGTGACTGTGTCATGGTTTTGTCACCTCACTGCTCATGGTGAGGGACATTTCACCATGCTGAAGTGGAGAGGAAACAGAGGGTGACAAGCTGCTGAGTGAGCCCATTTGAATTCTATGCAGTCATGAATTTTCCACTAGTACAGTGAGCAAACACTACAGGACCTCACTCCCAACAGCTACCTCTGACAACCTGCAGGGTCAAATCAGGGTGTCCATGTGGGCATTTGTTTTATGAAATTTGTCTTTCTTTTGTTAAGGTAGGGGCACATTTTGTAGATTGCATGCCTGACATAGCCTGGATACCACCCTGAATCTAGCATATGTTTCTGTGGTCCAAGGGAAGCTGGAAGCAATTGACAACAAATGTGAGCAAGGGACACCATGAAAAAGGTCACAAAATAATGTCAA